GAATAGTTAGTATATGGCTGTATCTGAAATTTTCTCACCCTACAGAGGCGGGATGTTTATGTGACTTCTTTCCTTTGGTGGCTTCTTTTTTTTAAGTTTATTTATTTTGAGTTGGGAAGGGGCAGGGAGAGAAAGAGAATTCCAATAAGGCTCTGTGCTGTCAGTACAGAGCCTGATGTGGGGCTCAATCCCACTAACTGAGTCGAATCCAAGAATCCGATACCTGACCAACTGATCCACCTAGGTGTCCCTCCTTTGGTGACTTCTAATGACACATTTTCTTGATTGGGTAGGGAATGCGGAGCGGGGGGGACGGCTTCATACAAACACAGGAGGCAGAAACAGAAAGGCTGTCTCTCATACCCTACTGATGGGCTGGCCTCGTGAGTGGGAGATGCAGACGGACACAGTGGTGACCCTGGTGTCATATGTATGAAAACAGAATTTGCAGATGGGTTGGGCTTAGGTAAGGAAACCAAGTCTCAGAAATGAATTGTGCTGGGCCACTTAGTCACTTGCACCCAGACTCCTACTCTTTTGATCCAACTCCCTACATTTCCAGGAGTAAGTTCAAGTGAATCACACTTTCCAAGGAAGTGCCCAAGAGTCAAGTGGGTATTGAGTGAAAAGGGCAAAGCCAGCATCCATAACAGTAAACAAAACAGAAACAAAAACCAAACAGTTGCCCACAGCCTACATTAGACCCAGTGTTATTTCTACCCGTGATTTGGCACTGCAGTGGCCACGTACAGTAGGACTTCAGTGGCTTTAAGTCAGGGCAAGTGGTCCTGAAATTCCATGGTAATTGGCATTTCCCAGGCAGCTGCCTGGGTCGGAGCCACGTGACGCACCCAGGTTTCTGCAGGCCCCGTGTTCATACGTGCATGATTGTTTCCATTACCACAGAGCCTGCTGGGGCCTTTCCAAGCTGGACCCTGGGCTGAGACATGATTCCACGGAGGCATCACAGTCCTGAAAGAGACCCACAGGCCGCTCGGATGACACCAAAATAGACATGTGAAGTCCTGGCTTAGTTGGCTGGGAGGGGAGGGAGGGGTGGGAAGCTGTTCCCAAACACATCCACCTGATGGAAATATTCTGAGCTGGAATGAGCTGTAAATAAACTAGACTGTGCTAAAAACAAACATCTCCAGGGAGTTGGGGGGGTGGGCAGAAATAGATGCTCTTCACCTGCTGAAAGTGAAGTCAAGGTCAAGGGGGAAAGGGCGAGGAGGGATGGGGAGAGGTGAACAATGCAGATGCCTCGGCAGGAGAAGCAACTTATGCTCGCTGAAGAGTTCTCCAGTTTCCAGGAAGAAATAAGAGAATTGCTTCAAATGATAGACTCTTTCATTAGTGGGAGACCACAAAGAATGTGGGGTGAAGCGAGGCACTGGAGACCATATATGGTCTGGAAAAATAAATGGTGAGGAGTGCAAATGAGCCACGTGAACCTGCCAGCCTCCCAGGTGCTCTTGGCCAGGAGAGACTTTGTGGAAAACCACAACCTCAGCCCTTAGCTGTGTGCCAAAGCACACAAAGAGCAGCAAAGGAGAAACTGCCACTGGGGTGGCATTGAAGTGGTCCTGGAGTGCTGGTGCGTGTCTGCCACCTTCACCACGTGCCCCAGGCAGGGTGGAACAATGGACCCTGCCACTCCCAGCTTACCCAACAGTCCAGCAAAGAAACTTGGAGGAATTTGAAGAGGAATATGATTGGCATTAATGTCATGCTTTATAACAACGTAGCTATAGTATTTTACCACTGAGAGAGAGAGAGAGAGAGAGAAGTGGCCCATGACAGGTAGAATGGATCTGCCACTCACAGCTGGGCCATGGTGTTCTGTTGAACAAAATCAGCATCGTAGAACAGCCTCAGACAAGGCCAGTCTGTGACTGTGATGGACCAAGGCAAAACCAGGCCACTGCGTCATCATATCAGACACAGACAAAAGACCACCATCCAACCACAAAAATGGCCAGCCATCCCTCGATCCTTGTTAATATGCGTGAGTGCTGTTGCTTTACTAACCACAGCTTCCGTCTCCCTCTGCTCTGTTCTTCTTCTAGATAAGAACTAAGATAATCACAGACGAGCTCTCGCTCCCTGCCAGCATCTGGTCCAGAGCGAAGCCAGACTCACCTTCCTCAGAGTCTCCCCCAACATCACTGAGTGAAAGCCCAAATCCTAGAGTAAACCCTTTCTAGCACCCTCTTAACAAGATGCCACGTGGTTCCCCTGGGTGTGTATCCTCCCTCGCAATGAGTCCAAAGAGGCAGTCTCACTCAACTACAGGCGTGTTGCCGATGGGGTGGGGTTGGTTGGAGGTGCTTCGTACTGTATCTCAGGTAGTTGTCATGGGAGCCCCTTGCCTTCTTCCAAGCTCCCGACCTTTATTTCCCACATTCCCACCATGCGTGGAAGAATGTGGAGATCAAGAGAAGAACCCTAGAACCAGACTGCTAGTCTTTGCCTCAGTTAACTGATCTATAAAATGGGGGTGACGACGTTCAGGATTGCTGTGAGGATTAGGTCAATTTCTATACGTGAAGCACTTCAGTGGTGCCTACGCGTGTAGTGCCTTGGGTTTTATTAATTATTATTATTATCAATTTAGCAAACATTTGTGGAATATCTAGTGTATGTCATGTACTGTGCTAGAACATGAGGATTAAAAGCTGGCTTCCATCCTCCCAGAAAGTACTATAGTCAGGAAAATACAAGGAAACTGTTTTACCCCATGGATAAGAGCTAACATAGAGGCAAACCCAGAGAAAAACATGGCAGGACCCTCAACATTGGCCTGGGAAGTCAAGGAAAGCTTCCTGGTGGAGGCGGCACCTGCCAGTTCTCGGTTAGTGAGTAAGAGTCTCCAGGATGGGCTAGGTGTCAGGGGGGAGGGGTGGGATATGAGCAGAAGGGCATTGGCAGCCCCTCAGCCCTTAGTGTCTACACGTCAGGGGCACCAGTTAGACATCTTTCTGCCCCTCAACATGGCCTGGCCCAGTGCCTGACAAAGCATGTGCTGGAATGAACAAATATCTAACACCAAATCTGACAGGTTTCCCACAAACCAGTGCCTCCTCTGACCTTCCCATCTCATACTCTGACTCACTGTTGTCCCAGGTCCCGGCCACCTCAAAACCACCCTCGATTGTTCCTCCTCATTCACTCTTGCGGCACGCTGGCCCCCAGTTTCTTTCTCCCCAGTGACGTTTGCATTGGTTGCTTCCTTTTTTGTCCTCACCACTTCCATGGCCTTGATGGGCCACCTCCACGTCTGGCTGCTGCAAGATTATATTGATTTTTAAAATTGCATATGTATGGTGTATTGTTTATGAATTTCATTTCCGGGTAATAAAAGGGTCTTTACAAACAGAGGCATTGGCTCGGAGAGGGCCGAGGACCATTGGCATGGGCCAGTGGAATGTTCCTCCATCAGGGAGGGAGTATGTGGGAGTGCACGAAGCAGCCATTCCTGGGGAGCACCCACCAGCTGCCTGATGTCCGCAGGCAGGTCCTGGAGCACAGGGTGGAGACAGTAGGCAAGCCCAGGCCCCTGAGAGAGAAGACTGAAACTGGGTTCAGGGCCCGAGAGGCATGTGGTGGGTGACCTGCCCAAGTTCTACAAAGTCAGAGGCTCGACGTAAGGGTTGAAGGTGAGGGTACCCTCACGAGACCCAAACTGGGAACTGTAAATGTACAGCTTTTGGTGATTATGGATATCAATGCCATGAATATTCTAGTACATGTGTTTTGGTGAACATATGCCCACTTGTCTGTTGCTAAACAGCCCTGAGTGAAACTGCTGGGCTGTCGGGGTTGCCTGGATTCAGCTTTAGTAGATGATACCAAGCAGTTTTCCAGGGAGGTTGAACCAACTTACACCCCCCGCCTCCAGCCAATGTATGAGAGTTCTGTTTGTTCCACGTTCTTGCCCACATTTGTTATTTCCTGTCCTTTTCATTTTAGCCATTCTGGTGGGGTGTGGAGTGGCTATCAACCCAATGTTCAGCCGCTGCAGAATGGATAAGTAGATTGTGGTTTGGTCACACAATGGAACTCTCTTCAGCGCTAACAGCTACAAACGACAACCCGAATGACCCTCACAAACACCGTGTTGAGCAAAAGAAGCCATACACAAGAATTCATGTTGTTTGATTCTATTTATATAAAGTTCCAGAATAGACACAATGAGTCCCTGGGGTTAGAAGTCAGAATGGTGGCGAGGGAGGTGTGCAGAGATTGGACAGGAGTTTATGGGGCTTGTGGATGATGAGGAGTTGTGTGTTTTGATCCAGGGGCCAGCCTCTAGGGTGTGTTCACTTTGCAGAAATCTGTTGGGCTGTGTGCTTATGATCTATGCCCTTTCTTTAAGGTATACTTCAATGTTGAACATACCCTAACATCGAACATGGGCAAGACCCCATGTTCAATAAAGCTACCAGGGTCCAGGGCCCCCGCCTTCATCTCCTCACACCCGTGTATTGAGTCATTAGACTGTAACCCTTTTGTGAGCATGGGTGACCCCAAATGTGTGTGTAGAGTCTAGGATCAAGTATGTGTTTTAAATCAGGGCTCCGGGTCTTGTATAGTCCATGCCACCTTGGGCCCTGGATGCCCCCTCCCTGAGCCTCCCTCTGAGGGCACCATCAAAGTAATTAACAAACACTTCCTTCTCCTCCTCTATTGGAGGTGTATTATGAGTCTGGACTTCTCGTTCCTTGTCACATCTACAAAGTGACAAGTCAGTCCACGAAGAAGGAGACATGGACTTTATTATGGTCATGGTGTCCATACCAGCTGCTTAACCATCTTCGTTCAGCAAAGGCTGGGGGAGGGCTACATCAAGTGGCAAACAGACGGTGCACTCACATCTAACTGGTTAGAAATCACATTCAGAAATCTGGAGTTTGCGGCATGGGTCTCCTTAGGGTTCAGGGGACATGACAGAGGCCCCGACACTGTCGGGGCTATGAGCAGCAATTTTCTCTGCACAGCTCTTCCCGGCCTGGATCAGAAGAAGCGTGGCAGCCACAGAGCATGCTGCCTCCTGACGCCCCCTCCACCCCCGCTGTTCCCACCACCATTCTTCAGAGGAGGCCGAAGCCTGGTGAGTACCTCAGGGCTTGTGAGAGAACAGACACAGGGGCTCCCCAGTGCCCACCACACAGCCCCCGCCCCCAACTTCCCCGCACTTGAAGTGAGAAGCCTCCAGATTCTTTTCGAGGGATCCAACCCTTTACTCTCACACAGCAGGTTGAACTCTAGAATGGGCATTTGCAGTTTCTTGTGTGTGTCCATTCTCCCGCTGTCATAAATAAGTTATGGAGGGAGATTCTTGTCAGCAGGAAATTGGATTTGGAAAAGCATCCCATCTCCCTGAGAACAATGAGGTGAATTTATAACTTTCTAGGCTCCCTTCAGTTGCTCAGAACAGAATTTCCCCTTTCTTCCCAAGTGTTTATGAAGTTCCCTTCCACAGCCCATGTTTAACATAGCCTGTTTCTGTGAGGGGGCGCAGGAAATGGTCCCCCTATAGTCATACTGAGGTGTGAGAGGGAACAGGATTTGGGAAGACAACAGGCCAGAAGAGTCTTGCGACTTGGGATTCTCGAATTTTTCTGAGAATTCTTAGACCTGTACTGCCCAATGCAGTAGCCACTGGCCATATGTGTCTTCAACACCTCTCACGTGGCTCGTTAGAGTTGAGATGTGCTGTGCGTATGAAATACGCACTGGATTTTGAAGACTTGGGATGAAGAAAGAAGGTAAAATGTCTCAGTAATGTTTTAATATTGAATAGATGTTGAAATGATATCTGGGACATGTTGGGTTAAATCTATTATTAAACTTAATTTTACTTCCTTCTTTTTCCTTTTTTTAACTTGGCTACCAGAAAATTTTGAGCTACCTAGGTGGCTTGCATTTCATTTCTTTTGGACGGTGCTGGCCTAGACATTAGGCAAAGGCCCCTGAAATGAGCTTCCTAACTCCATCCAAAGGAGCTCTTCTAGCTCTATAATCTATTCAAGCCAGGAATGTCTTAGGAGAGAACAGGAACTTGGGGCCCAGAAGGTCATCTTCTTGGGACACCCACTGGGGTGTCAGGGAACCACCAATCTTGGGGACTGGATTGGGAGGCAGATCTGTGTCCAGGGGTAGTGACCCTTCTTCCGTCCCCCACGTCTGACCCATGACCATGTGTTGCTTGCATTGAAGCTTCTCTCCCCAGACATGAAGAATTTCATCCTGGAACTGGAGACCACACAGTCCTCATGTGTGCAAGGATCACTCGGCTCCCCTGGGCCCCCTGGCCCCCAGGTTGGTGCATTCCACCAGACCCTGTCCTGCTGTCTTCTGTTCAGAGCAGTAAAACCCACTGGGGAGAGTCTCTTAGAGCCGCCCTCTTCAACGCGACATGGGGGCCGCTTTTCTTTCCCTAGCTCACCTCCGGCTCCAGAGCCACGAGGCGAGTACACGGATTCCTCTTCTCTGGGAGAATGCTGGCCTCCCAGCCTTGATATCCTCACCTACACAGCGGAGACAGTAATTACCCCCACAGTACTGGATTTGGGTGGTGGTGAGGGGACCAGATGAGCTGCTGTCTAGATGGATATGATTATTATTATAATGATCATCAGACGCTTGACGACAATTGGTTGCCCCTTATGTGACCATTGACCAATCCCCCCCCACCCCCCCGTAAACCAAGAATTGCCTGCATTTGGCGCAGGAAAGCAGAGGTAATGGGGCACTTGTTAGTCTGAGCCTCATTAGACACTGTGACCAGGCAGCCTCCCCCCACCCCACTAAAGCTAAAGGAAAGAGTGAGGAACAGGTGAAATGTTAGAGAAAGGATTTTCTAGGCAAACAAGAGTACCCTCCAGAGACCCTGTCTCACAGACCCTGGCTCCCCTGACTTGCCTGGATGAGGGGGCCCAGCAAGGAGGACCGCCCCCTGGCCTGGGGCTCGGGGCCTGCCGTGGGGAGATGAAAAAGGGTACAGGCAGTAGTCAGTTGCCCAAGTGCCTTAGGAATTCTGTCACCCCTCCTGGGTGACCCCTCCTATGGCTTCCCATCCCAGGAGACTAAGGCCCTGCAAGAGGACCCCACCTGTATCTCCTACAGTGTATCATACCAACATTGTCCACCCAACGCATATCTCTTGGGTCCTGAAGCATATCAAGCTTGTTCCAGCCTTAGGGCTTTTGCGCTCGTGGCTCAGGCTTTTGGAATGTTCTTTCCTCTGATTTTTACCACGGCCAGCTCCTTCATTACTCAGAACAGTTTATAGGCCACCTCCTTAGAAATGCCTTCCTCAACCAGCCAGTCTACAGTACCGTTCCCTGTCATTCTCAATCGCGATGACCTATTTTAATTCTCCGCACAATTTTCTCATTACGGTTTTCTTATTTTGTTATCGTTGTCGGTCTCTTTGGTCTTTTTATAAAGTATAAGCTCTATGGCGAGGACTGGCACACTATGGCCAATCAGATCTGGAAGCAGCCTGTTTTTGTAACTAAACTTTATTGTCTCTGGCTGCCTTTGTGCTGCAAGGGCAGAGGTCAGTGGCTGTGACAGAGATGCTGTATCAGAGGCGTAGTTTAAGATATTTACTATCTGCCTCTTTACAGAAAAGGTTTACCGACCCGTGGTCCTAGAGCAGGGATATCATCTGTTTTGTGCCCGGTCTGTACCAGTGCACGGGTTCTTGTGATCTCTCCATAAATATTTATTGAACGCAATAAAGAACACAAAACAGGACTTTGAACCCAGAAATGGCCAGAGGCTGCCACAGAGGGGCTAGGAAGTCTGCAGAAAAGCAAGATGGACACCGAGGAGCACCTCCCAGGTGGATTTCTATCTTCCCACCTCCGGCAGTCTACACTGGTGGATCTCAGAACGCCTGAGAGCCACACGGCATGGGAAGGAAAGGGGGATTTTCTGCTGAACTCACACCCTCTCCAGCCCTGCTCACACACCTCTAACTCACGTGATCCACTTGAGTCATTCAGAGAATGTGCTGCCCAGCTAGGTGGGGTGGGGGTAGCGGGAGCATTTGCAGCCACTTCCATTCCTTAGAACATAGTGTAAATGCTGTTCCCAAGCAAAATGAGGTCTGTGAATCAGTAACAAGGGCATCCTCTGGGAGCTTGTCAGACATGCAGAATCTCATTCTCTCCTCCCCTTCACACACCCCCACCCACTCAATCAAAATCTGCATTAAAAAACATTTTTAATGCTTATTTTTGAAAGAGAGCAAGTGGGGGAGGAGCAGAGAGAGAGGAGACACAGAATCCGAAGTGCTGCATGCCGTCAGCTCAGACCCCGATGGGCTCAAACTCACAAACTGGGAGATGGAGAAGCTTAACCCACTGAGCCACCCAGGCACCCCAAAATCTGCATTTTAACAAGCCCCCCTAGTGAAACATCTGCACATCAGAATTTGGAAAGCACTGAGCTAGAGCACAATGGCCTGGTAAAATCCCTCCAGCCCATTTTAAGAAATCGAAAAAACAGGCTTGATAATAAGAAATGAGAGAATGGAACAGCGTTCATCCTTGCAAGGGGACTGGACAGGTGGCAGGCACACTGCCCTGGGGCTCCCTGTCACCATGGGCTCCTAGACTTTGGGGAGCAGGGAACTTCTGCCCTTCTGAGTCACACTCTCTGGGAGCCCTGGCACCCCCTAGGCTTTGATCCTCAAGGACTGTGTACCCTGTACCCTGGGCTATCAATCCAAGCTGGCCCTCACAGCCGTGAAATAGGGCCAGGTGCTGGGGCCAGCGCAGTCCCCAGCAGGTCACTGGGCAAGTGGCTGAGGAAGTGGGGGTGACGCCACCCTCCCAGGAAGCCCTATTTCCACACAAGGGTGTCCAGACCAGGAGTGAGGAGGGAGAGAAGCGGGGAGGAGGGGAAAGTTAGGGGGAGCAGGGGGGCTTGAAAGAAGAGGTAAGGTGGGGGCAGGGGAAGGAGAGAAGGGGAGAGTGGAAAGGGAAATGAAATGATGACATTGCCTCTTCCCATCCCGCAAACAGGAAAATAAATCAAAGTCTGGTTCCCAAACTTAGCTGTACGTTAGAATCCCTGAGAGCTTCGGGGCACCTGGGTGGCTCAGTCGGTTAAGCAGCCAACTACAGCTCACGTCATGATCTCATGGTTCGTGAGTTCGAGCCCCGCATCGGGCTCTGTGCTGACGGCTCAGAGCCTGGAGCCTACTTCAGATTCTGTGTCCCCCTGTCTCTGCCCCTTCCCTGCTCACGTTCTGTCTCTCTTTCTCTCCCAAAAGTAAACATTAAAAAAATTTTAATTTATAAAGAATCCCTGGGAGATTCAAAAATTCCTGATGCCTAATGCCCCTTTCCTTGAGATTGTGATGTAATTGATCTGGGTTGGCTTGGTCAGGATTTTCAAAAGATCCTCAGGGGATTCTAATGTGCAGACAGCTTTGGGAACCACTGAGGGGACTGTTTATCATTTGGACAAGTCTCAAAGGAATCATATTTCAAACAGGCTTTGTGGTAGGTGTGTTCACCAGCAGATCATGGGGATAAAATTGTGGCCTGCTACAAGTTGATGGATTTCCTCTTTGCCGTACTGGGGAATTTGGAAAACAGTCAACCGAGCATTTCATAGACGCGTGAACAGAAAGCAGCTGCATATTGGCCGTGGGTGTGGCAGGCTTTAGTGTAGTGGGTGCTAGAGTCCCTGAGCTGGAGTCAGCCCCACTCCTGGGACTGGGCAATGAGACAAAACGCACCATTGCCCACATTCTTAACGTCTTAAAGAAGGGTTTCACTGCACCTAGTGCCCATAGATCCAGCACAGAAATTTCTAAGTTGGCTGCTCCTATGTGCAAAGAGTAACTTCCCTCTTGTCAGGGCCCCAGGGGGGCTTGGTTGAGAGCAGCTGAAAAGCTATGAGAGGTGGTGACGCATCTTGTTTTCTGCAAACAGCGTTTCTTCAAGACTCTCTGGTTGTAACCACGGCACCCCTGGAAGCACAGCTCAGGGAAAGTTACCAGAGGACAAGGAGACTGGGTTGGAGGGCACAAGAGGGTCCTTCATGGGGACCTTGGACCCCTAGTCTGCTAGAGGGAACCACGCTGCTAGAGGAGCCCAACGCACCAAGAGCCTCCCTTGAAGTCACGCCTCCCTCCCCACCCATCCTGCCTTGTTTTGATGGAGACCTTTTCATTTCTTATGTTGATTGCATAGGGTCCACCAGGACTTCCTGGCAAGATAGGACCAAAGGGAGAAAAGGTATGAGTCACTGCCTTCTTCAGTCCACCCCTTCTTGGTAATTCCAGCCTGTTTCCTGGGGATGCCACTGAGAATTTTCTGGTTGAGATGTCAAAGAATGTGCTAATTCTGCCTGAGAGAGTGAGGATGGGCTCCGTGATGGCGGGGCTGCTGCTGCATGTGTGAGATCCCACTGGCGTATTTCAGCTTGGCCCACTGACATGGCAGGGGTGCTGTGAATGGCCAAGCAACCAAGCCACACGCTCATGCCCAGCCGTCAGCCCTACTAAGCTCTGTGCTTCCAGAACTTCTCTTCCAAAGAAGCCTCTGCTTACCTGTCTTCTCCATCCACAGGGGGAGCTTGGCCTACCAGGAAGAAAGGTATGGTTCATGCTGTTCTGTCAGCATTGCACGGGCAACTGTTCTCTGTGTGTGTGTGCACGTGTGTGTGTGAGTGTGCGTGTGCACGCACCCACAAGTACTCTTAGGGGTAGGAGCCACCAGCAGTATACTTCCTTAGACTCCAGTATCCAGGTGGACAATGATGGCACTGCCATTCTGATGACAGTGGGCTTTTTCTGCCTGTTCTTTTTTTTTTTTTTTTTTTTTTTTTTGAGAGAGACAGGGAGCGTGAGCAAGGGAGGGGCAGAGAGAAAGGGAGAGGGAGAGAATCCCGAGCAGGCTGCACACTGCCAGCACAGAGCCCCATGTGGGGCTCAAACCCACGAACTGTGAGATCATGATCCGAGCCGAAACCAAGAGTCAGACACTTAACCGACTGAGTCACTCAGGTGCCCCATTTTCTGCCTGTTCTTTTGGTCGAGAGCCTGCTACTGCCAGGCATCTGGACCTCTCCCAGAGGCTGCCAAGCCTGCCCAAATTTCCCCCAACCTCAGACCATCTCATTCTGCCACCCATTAGGGAAATCATCCAGGGCCCCAACCAGTGGCACTAAATGACTCTTACTGTCTATTTGATTAAACTGGAATAAAGTGCAGAACAGAAGCCAATAGCTTTTGCCTTTTGGCCCAGCTGAAATACACAGGAGTCACTTAAGGTCATAGGGACTTTGAGCGAACCAAACACATGTTACCAAGGCTCTCATTCAGGTCAGGAAAGAGTAAACCAGCAGCCACTCACTGTGGTCAATGGATGTTGGCACTGAAACTGTAGGTCTCAGTGATAGAAGGCGGTGTAACACTGTGGCCAAACAAGATGCTTATGATTCTAAATATAAATTATTAGTTTTCTGGTTAAATGTTCTATTCAGATGGTTTCACTATCAACAAAAGCCTCAAACAGACCTTTGCAAGCAAAATTACATCCCTCAAGGACACAGATCACAGCTCCAGCCAAGGCACAGGGGTTATCTGAAGCGCTGGGCTGGAAAGCATTCTGGGATGGTCTTCATGCTCAGAACTAACGAGGGCCGTGATCAGTTAGTGATGTCTCCCATGAAAGTGGGAAAGAGTAGAAACGAGGACACGTGTTAGCATTTGTGATCTCCAGTTTAGGGGCTGAGCCTTCCACATGTCTAGTTAGGTTAACTGTGAAATTAGCCAGTGGGTGCAGAGGTTGAGATAGACCCCAGGTCCCCGCCCCCACTTCCTCTTGTAAGGTTTGCTCTTGCATGGCTCCTGGCTTAGGTTGGCCTCCCTAGAAGCAGAGGTAGAGACCACACGTGCCATGTAGAAGTGAACACATTAAGGGAGTTCTCTCAGAAGGATCCTGAGGGGAGGGGAAGCCGGATGGTGCCGGGGAAGAAGCCCAGCTTGGGTGTGGTGTCAGATGAAGTCCATCTTCAGCCCCATTGCTAGGGGAGCTCTGGTGTGTGAACAGCACCACAGAGCTTGTCCTGTCCTGACGTAAGGGAGCTGGGTTATTGGCTGCAGGGAGAAGAGGTGCATGAATTGCCAGGCAGCTCCAATTGACCATTGGCAAATTCCACAATTACAGGTTGCAGGAATGCGTTGTGGCAGGAAGGCAGGTAGCCACTGGGGGGATGGGCACAGTGAGCAAGTGAAAAAGATTTTGAGGGAATACCAACAGCATCTGCTGCTATACCCCAAACAAAACCCCACCCCATTCCATGCCATATCCTTGGGAAGAACCTGTTGGAATGCAAGGAACATTTGGGTGAATGGGCAGGTGAGTGGAGGTCATAAGCAAAGAAGTTTAGAATCCCTTCTCTATCACCGTCCTTCACCGCACCCCCCCCCCCCCCCCCCGCCGGCACCTTCCATTTCTTGAATAGAATAAGAGCTTATGTGTTGACATAATATAACACCAAACTCTTTAACTTATGTGTAAGTGACCCAACCTTCTAGGCTATCAGTCACTGGAGGGTGGGGATGAAGGACCTAGAAGCCATGCTTAAGGGCCCCACAGTCCCCTGTGAGCTCCCAAAACAAATCTCATTTCCTGGAAGGAAGGAAACAAACCCAGTTGTCCTGACTTTTGTTGTTCATTTTTGAAGGGTAGACCTGGCCCCCCGGGTGTTCCTGGCATGCCTGGGCCAGTCGGCCCTGAAGGACCCAGGGTAAGTATGGCACACTCTCAGGGTTCATGTGGTATCAGAACATGAGGGGGGATGTCAGCCCCCCAGCCTTTGGCACATAGTGAAACTTGTTTCCTTAAGAGGAGGAAGATGAAGAAAGGACGAGGACTGCCCAGAGGTCCCCAAACACTTGGGGACCTTTACTTGAACTATAAGACCTTGGCCCGTCCAGCAGCTCTGCTCCTATGAGCGGGGGTGGGGGGGAGAATTGAAGGGCCGCTCCCCTCTTTCACAGGGACCCCGGTTCTCCTTTGTCCTCAGAGGTAGCCTGAAATTCTTTGGTTTCCCTGAGATGACCCACGAGGTGCTTGTGTCTGGAAAGCTGTGCGGGAGTTTGGGGGTTGAGGGTGATGGGCACTGGCCAGCTGGAAAGACTGAAATCCTGCATTTAGCTAAGCTAAATGCTGATGAAATCCCTTCTTCACACAGATGATGGAAAGCTGACACATCCACACCCATACCTTTGTTTATATTCTTCTCCCTTTGGTCAGAGACTATTGGGTGCAGATTTGGCCTGCAGAAATCAGGGACGGGCAGGTGAATGTCACTATCTGCTCTGATTCAGTCACCAGCTGTATTTATTACACAGGATAGAAAACTGTGTTCCCAGTCCTCTTAGGAAAAGTCCCAAGGATATTTTTCCAAAAATCTACTTTATAGGTCTGAACTGTCCACTATGGCAGCAATTACCCATATGTGGCTACTGAGCCCTTAAAGTGTGGCTGGTACAACTGAGGAACTGAATTTTTTATTTTAATGTAAGTTTGAATTTAAAAACCTTTACTCAGTTCAGTTATTTGAAAATATGAAGGCATGTTTATAGCAACTTGAATGTGTGACTCTGCTGTTTCAGTATAAATTTTATGAAATCTAAATACAGATCGAGTATTTTGGATGAAAATTTAATGCCTGAATTGAGATATGATTTAAATATAAAATACACAACAGATTTAAAATATCTATTCTAAAAATCAGATTGTAAAATATCTCATTAATTTATATTGATTATATGTTTAAATGATAATCAGATTAAATAAAATATATTAAAGTTGATTTCACCTGTTTTACTTTTTACCTGTTTTACTTTTAATGTAACTTCTAAAAAAATTCGAAAGTATGTGGCTCATCTTATATTTCTACTTTTCAGCACAGAGGGTGCTGAAAGTTCCAACTACAAACCATTCTGAGGGGCAACAGAGCCCACCCATGAGTCTTAGCCCCCTGTCTCCGTAATGCATGCCCAGAGGCTGATGTTCACTCTGTTTGACTGCAAACCTAGGGTGAGAATATATGAAAATGCCTGAAAGGCCCTCCCTATGCAGAGCATAAAACAGGTGAAGTTTTCTGGGGTGTTGACATTTAGTCCTGTGAGGCCCGATGCCCCCATGTTCTCTCCCCGCCCTCTCAAAACCTACTCCAGGAAAAGATCAAGCATTTGTAGCATATTAGCATTTAGTTTGGAGATCTGCTCTGCCTTGGGCAATTTCATTTTACGTTTAATCTCAAATACCAGAACGAAGTGTGAACTATGGAGCCTTGAACCCCTGGGAGTGAGCAAGGGAGCATGTGGGGTCCTCAGATTCACAAGCCAGCCCCAATGCCCCTAGTTCCATCATGATCTTGCCCATGATTTTCCTGGTTCTGTTTCTCTAGTAAATGTCACCGTTGGTCCTTTTCCCCATCTTCTTCTGATTCCCCCAGGGTGAAAAAGGTGACCTGGGTGTGATGGGCTTGCCAGGGTCAAGAGGACCAATGGGCTTCAAGGTCAGTGTGTTGGTCCAGACGGACATTCCCGGCTCTTCTCACTAAGGCTCTGGAGCAGCTGCTGTCCACAAAGATGGGGGGTTGGGTGGGGCTGCTGTCCTGGGCTTGGGGAGTGTCACAGATACCAGAAAGCCCAGTGCCAGAGTGCTTGTCTTTACCAGCCCTTTGGGGGACATCATGCCTGGGATGCAGGGGCATAGGGATGTCCTTCCTGTTATTCTCCTGGGCAGGGAGGGTCAAGCTTCTGAACAACAAGGCAGATGGAAAACTTTGTTCAGGCCTTTGGGGGTAAGAAAAGCAATGTTCTTTTTAGGCCTGGTATAAACATAACCCTAAGGGACATCTTTGTGTTTACTGCTACATAGGGTGAATCGTAAATGCACCTTTTGCTTTCTTTTAGGGCTACCCTGGATCCAGAGGGGAAAAGGTTAGTGCTTGTCTCCCATGGCTTCCCAGAGCCTGGTCTGGGCTATTGACTCTGGGGTCAGTGATGAGCAGAAGACAGGCCCAGGTTTCTCTTAAGTTAGCACCTATAGTGACCATTCCTAGATATCCCCCTGTCCTTTGTCATTGGACTGAGAGAGCAGGGAAGGGCCTCCCAAGGCAGGGCGAGTAGGTTAGGGAGGAGCTCCCAGTGGAGGTAGAGGCCCCTCATGTGGAGCAGATTAGTAGCTGAAGTCTGTACTGGTGGAGGGGAAACACAGCCTGCCTGCGGGGCACTGGAGGGAGATGGTTGGTGTTGTCTGTAGACCACGCTTCTACCACACAACTTTCTCATCTGTCAGAAACCAAACCAAGTAAAAAAAATCCAGCCAGAACCTGGGGACAAATTTCCCACAGGAGGAGAGAGGATCTGGGACCCAGAATTTTCTGCGAGTTGTCTTTTATTAATGCAAGGGTCTTTGTGGTCCAAATAAAAGGTAGACCACAAAACATTCCTTCCCTGGGCAAGTCACCTGAAGCCTACTTCTTTGCCTGTAAATGAGTGTGTTGGCTTAGGGAGCTTTCATTTTGAAACTCTCCAGTTTTACCCCAGGGTATTAACTCTTTGATTCCCTCCTGTGGTTTCCTCCTAGGGATCCAGAGGTGAAAGGGGTGACTTGGGTCCCAAAGGAGAAAAGGTAATGGCCTTTGCATGGAATGATAAACTACAGAGGAAATGGCAGCCCTTGCCCACCGCCATCTTGTGGGCTGTCCTACTGACTGACTGACTGACTGACTGACGGCTCTATCTTGAGAACAGCTGACCACACTCTTCCACAGCCCTTTCAAGCACTATCTCAGAGGCAGTCACTATGTGTGTTGCTCTCTTCACAGGGTTTCCCGGGATTTCCTGGAATGTTGGGGCAGAAAGTAAGTACTTAGAAGTAGTAAAAATAGGCCTCAGTAATAAATTGGACCTTCTTAGCACCACAAAAAGAGCTCTGGGCAGGGAAAGTGGGTTTCGTCGTGGAAGGTTTTGGTTTAGAAGGGGAGCATGTTGCTGTGCATGTTGGTGAGAGGGTGACCGCATGGTCTGAGACCTCCCTCCAGTTCAGTGGGAGGGAAAGGATGCCCTGTCTGGGTAGAGAGGCCTTTCTTTGCATTTCCTGCCTCTTAGAGGGCCATGGTAATGTTCAGAAGCAGCAAGCGTCAGACAGTTGGATCAGATCTGAGCTACAGTGGTCGAGGGCCCCAGCGCGAAGCACAGGCATCTTTGGCCTAATGCCTTTGTTGAAGACCCTCAACCTAGACCCTCTTGGAGGGCAGTACATGTACTGTCAGAGGCACACAGAGCTATTTTAACTGGGTGACAACAACCCTTTTTTATTTGCATTTTTTCATTTAAATAGTTAGCTATTTAGTGGGATTTCATGGATATCTTGCTGGGAACAAGTCTTAATAAAAATGGGAGTTCATTCAGCTGACTTTAAAAAATATCCAGCAACTAACAGTAGAGCGGTGTGCCGATATGACAAAAATTGTGGAAGTGGCAAGTGACTAATAGATTTCTGGAACCTTTTACTTAGGGCCAGGGTCTAGAAAGAAAGGGGGGTGGTGAGAGGAGGTGTTGGGATAAAGAGAGCGTGCATAAATGTCCCCTCAGAACAACTGTATCTAACATAGTAACTTGTAACAGGGGTTCCTCATGCTTAAGGCATTGGCCTGGGAGATGGTCATTTTCACCTGAGCCTCAGAGAATAGTATTCTTCAAACATGCAAATACATGCTTTCTTAGAATTCTAATTGTCTTTCAAATTTATCTTAAAGTTTTCTTTTTCCAACTTGAATTAACAATTTTTATCTGACCTGCTGTCAGTAGAGCTTGCTTGCTTATTTATTTGTTTATTTATAATGTTCACTTATTTTTGCGAGACACAGTGACAGAGTGAGAGCAGGGAAGGAGCAGAGAGAGAGGGAGACACAGAATCTGAAGCAGGCTCCAGGCTCTGAGCTGTCAGCACAGAGCCTGACATGGGGCTTGAACCCATGAACTGTGAGATCATGACCCGAGCCGAAGTCGGATGCTTAACCGACTGAGCCACCCAGGTGCCCCGAGCATATTTAAATAATGTCAGTCATCTGCCATTAATTTATTATTATTTACCACTGCCTTAAGCTGTCAAAAAACTGTTCCTGCTATTCCCTAGGTGGAGTGTTGGATTAAAAATAATTACATAAACAAATTAAAGGAAACATTAAAAGAGAAAAAACTAATCTGATTTAAAAATATTAGGCTAGGTTTTCATTCAGTGCAACAGTGAACATCAAAGAATAATAAATTACTGTGGAATTAAGTATGACAGCTGGCCTCTGCACCATTTACTAGGCTTGCCATGTAGAGTTCTCTTTCCCTTTCATGGCAGGCTGTTTTAAGACAGAGATGATATGATAATGGTAATTAGGTCTTAGAAATTAGATCAAGAACTTACTGTCTGCTTTCAGTTGATGAAGAGAGGGGCCACACTTCCTTCTGCCAATCTTTAAAAAAAAAAAAAAAAA